AATTTCCCCTTTACTTTATTGGGCACTTGTTTGATGTTGGCATATCAAAGATGATATCTTTAGTTTTGTCTCACCAATATAGTAGTTGCGAAAAAAGCGCTCTAATTTAATAAACACTTGAATATGAGTAATATCGTAATGCCGATTTATTTTTGGAACTAAGTAGACTATGGAGATTTAAACACTGGTGCGTACCCCGCTTTTTAAACGCTGGTGCGTATCCCGCTTTTTAAACGCTGGTGCGTATCCCGCTTTTTAAACACTGGTGCGTATCCCGCTTTTTAAATACTCTTCTTACTTAACGACTGATTTCAGGGATCCTTGGTAAAGACATAAATCTATTGGAAACATTAAAAAATTTTGCTTTAGGTTATAGGTATATTTAGGGCAACGTTTTTCGACTTTTATTATTTTTTATATTTATTAATATAAATTTATAATAGCTCATCTTACTTTTTTAATAAAGTTTAGTTTATGTAATTCAATTTGTTAGAGTTTGTTTAGGGCAAAACCTAAAAAGGGATCGGTTAGGGCAAAATTTGGGCTAGTCTTAGTCGACTTAAATTTTACAGAATTTAAAACTCGGAAGAAAAACATTTAACGGAATGATTTCTGTTTTTATAAGCATAGTTTTTGTCTATCATGGCGTGTTAATTGTCAAAAAGCTTTAAGTTATTAATAAAAAAATAGTTCAATAAAAAGAATATGATTTGTCAATCGTAGCATGATAATTGTTTATCGTCATCCTTCCATTTAATTTGGTATATGTATCTATACTCTGCCTAATATCACTGTAACTGGTGTGAAGATCGTAAATAAATGTATTTGTTTTAATAATGGCAATGAGTACATTATTATACCATTTGCAAATAATAAATTCAAGGGTTGACTCTTAATGACTGTTTAATGAGTCAGTCATTTTAACTTAATGATAATTTTGTTTTAATATCATAGTAGATTTTATGTTATAAATATTTAAATATAATACTTAAACAAAATGAATTGTGTTTAACAAAGTATGTTAAAGAACCAGTATTGTTTAAATATTTCGCACTAAAATTAGATATAATATATTGCTAAAGACTAATATATTGCTAAAGTAAATATTGCGAGCATTTTATAACAAAAAAGGCATATTTAAAGCGTTTTTTTCTTTCAACGTCTTTTTTTTTTATTGTACCATCAAAACTAGGTAGTAATAGCTTTAAACTGTTACTGATTTTTAATTTACTTAATTTAGTAATAGATTAAATACTGATAGATAAAGTCATGAAGTTAGATAAAAACATGAGTCGAAAATATGTTTTAATTTATTGTTTCTCTGATAAATCAATATAAATTGTTAGTTCGTGATAAACAACAATAATATGATAAAAGTAAATTTGAATTATCAAAATTTAATAGTATTGTTTAATAATTACAATAAAAAGCTTTATTTTATGAATATATATGATTAGGTTTTAGTTTTACAGTGTGCAACAAGATATGATACCCTGAAAAAAACTTTAAAGTTTATTTATGAAATGAAAATGAAAAAACAATCAATAAATCTTATACAAACTATTTTCAACCCTGTCCGTGGCTTAAAAAGAAAACGACTGCCTCCAGTTTATGTAAATTTAACATACAAAACTATGTTTATACAGTATCGGACAAAACAAGTGCAACCAAATAATGCTAATTTAATTTCTTTATAAAAAAGGGCTATTTAGAAAAATAACTATGTAACTGTTTAGAGACAACGTTCTTCAAGCTTTATTCATCACAAAGTTCATTATTTGTACACGAAAATTAATAAATTAATCAAAAGTATTAAAAAAAGTTGATTTCCTTCTGGACAAATCCACAAAATGTTGACCAAGCTGTATTTCGCTATCAATATTTTATGGCGAATCCTTTGTTGTCGATCACAGCCTTGCATCTTTGAGGCATAGATTCGGTCAGGTGATCAATGAAACTTTGTGGAATCGCTACCCAGGCCTTTTAGATTTGTTCAAACATTTGATCCTTATTATGAACACCTTCACGATTAATTCTGCGGTTGACGATCTCCCACAGGTTCTCGATAGGGTTAAAATCTGGAGATTGAGGCGGTCAATCCATCACCGATAAGTGGTTGTCTTAGAACCACTGCTTGACTACTTTTGCAGTGTGTTTCGGATTGCTGTCTTGCTGAAAAACTCATTTTATTGGCATATTCCATTCAGCATGAGGTAACATAACATCTTTCAGGATATTTTTATACATGAAACGGTCCATTATTTCATCGATTCGATGTATTGGACCGTTAGCAGAAAAACACCCCCTGACCCTTACATTGCCTCCCTGACCCTTACATTGCCTCCACCATGCTTCACGGTCTAATGGCAGTAACGTAAATTGAGGCGTTTTTTGTCCGGTCGACGTACAAGGCAAACGCCATCGCTCCCAATGATATTGAACTTTGATTCATCACTGAACAGGACAGCTCGCCATTTCTGCACATTCCATTCAATATGAGATGAGCAAACAGGAGTCTTTTCTTCTGGTTTTTTAGTGAAATCAGCGGTTTCTTTGCAGGGCGTCGAGAAAACAATCCAGCTTCAACAGCACGTCGTGTGATTGTTCGGTCCGATACAGGCAGCTCTAGTTGCTTTTGTATCTCAACTGATGATATCCAGGAATCATTTTTGACGAACCTGACGATCATAGAATCCTCTCTAGAAGTGATGGAACGCAGTCCTCCACCTTTGTTATCTGCTGCCAGCTTCCCCGTAGAACGATATTTGGAACATAGTCTTGATACAGTCCATTTTTTCACGCGATTCTTGTCACAAATACTTTTTTGTGACATTCCACTAACGTAATCGTCAATAATTTTTTTCTTAGTTCCAATCTAAGACTGTCGGGAGCCATTTTTGTACTTAAGTCATAAAAATAATAAAAATAAATAGTCACGCTTCTCAAGGCTTACCGTGTTACATTTACCTTGTGGATGATACAATAATGCTCTGTGGAACACAACGTCTTGGTTGGATGTGAACTGTATTGATGTAATGAAACACTTGTTATTATTTCACTTCTTGCATTGATGCTATTTGATAAAACACTTTGATAAAACTCACTTCGATATACTGTCATGATAATACTGGCTGATTGACTTCCATATACTGACTGAATTAGATGTCGGTTTACATGTCTCTTATATAGTAAAATAAACCTGTTTGAACCTATTCTGGAAGATTCTAGATGCTTCTTTTTGATGCTTCTGGAAGCTTCTGGATGCATCTAGATGTTTCTGAATGTTTCTGGATACTTCTGGATGCTTCTTCTAAAAATTTCTGGAAGCTTCTGCATGCTTATGGAAACTTCTGGAAACTTCTGGATACTTCCTTTAATTATTAAAAAACTTCCGTGACGATAACATGGACCAGACTTAAGAAAATGAAACAAACCAAAAAAATTGCACTTGTTTTGACCGCTGCAAAATGGCACTTGTCCACAAAATTCTGCCTGTGTGGTGTCACCTGTCAGCTGATTGCTCTTGTCATGGCATGCTATGACTCCAGACTCCTGAACTGTTTGCTGTGGTAGTATAGTTCGTTTTTAAGACGTAAAATTAGGAACACTTTATAGCATTCTTCGATGTTGGTTGCAAATGTTTTGTCGAATACTATAGATATCTTTATTTCATCTGTTTATTTAGTTTTTATAGTTTTTTTATTTTTGTTAAAGAAATTATTATCCTAATTTTTTTTTAATCCATCCACTATATACCGCTTCTGAAAACTCAAATTATAATACAGATTTTTGTTCTGAGTCAATTATAAAGTTTTATTTATTGCAACAGTTTAGATAGTTTAGTAATTTTTATCTATAAAATATTTTGATCTTTTAAGTACAACGTAACCAGGATACTACTGTTAAACCAGTTTTAAAGCCCCTGGCACCGTTAAAAACTAATTTTTCCAATGTCATTTAAATAATTTTTTTTAACTAATGCATCAAGTTTCTATACATTTTTAGAGTACTAAAAAAACAAATATCTCTCTCAATTTCAACATAATAACATTTAAAATGCAGAAAAACAATAACCAGAAAAAATTACAAAAAAAAACGACGTTTTTTAAGCAAACTAAAAAGTAAAAAATAAATTTTTTTTGAGCTTGTCAGAATGTCTGATTATATTTCTCTTATAAAGAACAGATTTTATTACAAATTTGATACACGTTAAACGAAATACGTCGGGCGTATGTTATAAGATAAAAGAGTGGTGATCAATCAACACTAATGGTTTCGTTAATCATATACAGTGCAATATATCTATACTGATCATTAAAATGGCCAATTATATTTAAATTATAATAGATACACTTAAATACAGCCACACAAACAAAGCATTAAAATAAATACTGCATAATGTCATAAAATTATCACATCACCACTTGCGCCCAACGTTTTTTTGTTTTGCGTGTATCAAATTCGTTGCAAAAGCTGTCATCATTATAAGAGGAATATAATCAAACATTCTGACAAGCTTAAAAAAATTATTTTCTATTTTTTAGTTCGCTTGAAAAACGTTGTTTTCAGAAAAATTCCTTTTTTATTGTAGATTATTGTGCTATTGCTATATATTTTTTAAAGATTTCTTGCTTGCAATAAATACATATAAATATGTATTATTATTATTAGTAACTAAAACAGAAATAGAGTATAATTTATTGCTTTAGTTGGAACATTCTATTATGTATTGAATACTTAAAACTTAAATTTTTTTTTTATCAAATATGTACATTCATATATATATATATATATATATATATATATATATATATATATATATATATATATATATATATATATATATATATATATATATATATATATATATATATATATATATATATATATATATATATATATATATATATATATATATATGAATGTACATATTTGATAAAAAAAATAATTTAAGTTTTAATAAAGGGGAGTTTAAAAAAGAAACAAATAAAAAACTTTACCTTGCGTTTTACTGGTAATAATCAGGTTCATAATTAAACTTGGTTGGCAAAAACCATAGCAAGCATAAATGTCAACATTATATAGCACGTTTGGCTGAACTTTATTATCAGAAAATACAACGGTATCATTGAGAGTTATGTTATGATAATAATAACCATTAAAGTAGTGTTGTGAAATTTTGACTGCACTCCATGTATTTGCAGTTAATTTAAAACTTGAAATTATAATTTTTGTTCCTGAAAATTTACTAGCAAAATAGCCATCGTAAATTTCTTCAGAAGGTTTTCCAAATAACTGGAAAAAAAAGTATACCTCTCCAGAAGAATTATTTGATAACTGAAAAACATTTCCTTCATCAAAGTTAGTTTTTCCAATATAGAAATCAAATGCAACCTCAAACTGATCATACAAAACATTTAACGCTGATATCAAATTAGAAGCTTGCTCTGCCATTACATGAAACATATACAACGAGTCTAATATACATATATATATATATATATATATATATATATATATATATATATATATATATATATCATTATAATAAAATTTAATAATTAACAAAAATAACATAAAAGATAGTTAGAGTTCAATGAAAATGGTATTTTTACTTTCCCCTAAAAACTAATAAAAACCACTACAGTTTCTTTTAATGTTGTCACAATCATTTATCAACATGTAACTGCTTAAAGCGGTATATACAATATGATCTCCCATATTATAAAATTAAAAATAGATTGTACCCTCAAATCTTTAGGGATTTCCGTAGAAAAAAAAAATTTTATTGTATGTTTAATTTAGTCAACAATAATTGTCGACAAATATTGAAAATGCTGTTATATTCAAATTTTTTTTAATATCCATCTTGTAATAAATCATCCTAAATTATGCTATTTATAGAACTTTATTATTATTATTATTAAGGCATATTCAAAAAATAATAGGTTTATATGAAAACTAAATTTATTAAACATTTATTTACAACAGAAGATGGTTAAGATAATAGTAAAGCTACTTACTTTTTTTTCTCTTTTTCCTGAATAACTTAAAAAAGAAATTATAATATTGGCATCAAGGTACAATGTTTAATTACAACTTCTGAACGCAACTGTTTGTCATTTTTTTTTTTTGCCAAAACTAAAGTTATCTCAGTGATTACATAGAAGTCATAGCATTAGCTACGTCTTCTGTAGATCTTCTGTTCACAATAAATGGTTTTAGACAATTCAACAGATGACCTTCTGAGAAAGCAAATTATTGATTTACTAAAAGGTAAAAGAACGTGAAGAAAAAACTGTGTTTTTTGTTTTAACACTAAATAATTTATAGATATTTTGGAAAATCTTAAAATATCTATTTTTTCTTATAGATTGGCTTTTAGTATTAGCTCTTCACATGCGCAAGATTGCGACGATGCAATATTTAAAGTTTTCGAACTGAAAACTGGTATCGTAGCATGCCAGGCAGTACCGCCAAAAACGTTATTAGATTATTTAAATATGATCTAACAATGTTAATCAATTGTTTGCTTGTTTTATTTATTTTTCAGTAATATGACCTGTATGAACACTGGTTTATATGCTGTAGCAATTTAGTTTCTAAGCAAAAAACTGAAACTCTCAATAATATGGGTGTTATACAGAAATAACATATAAAGGATATACATGGAAGTTATCAAAGGAGAAGAAAGATTGAGAATTGCATTTGGTGTTTAAAAAAAGGGGAACAAAGTTTGTGTAAAATTGAATTCTTTAGATATTAATGTAAAAATAAATTGTAATTACCTAGAGGTTGAGTCACTGTTGTTCATCTTGCAAAAGATGCTATTTCCTTTTTTATTAAAGTTTTGCTTAAAAATACTTCTGAAAAAGGTGATTATAAATATTTTTCAGCAATGATGTTTTTTATCTCGGCGAAAATGTATAACGATTAGTATAAGTTGAAGCAATAAAATGTTGGTTTTCTGGTGGTTCATATTTATTCAAATATGAAAATTTTTGCTAAAGCGAAAAAGTTTGCCGATAGCGTAAAAGTCCGGAGTTCTGAAGACGATGAAGTCGGCAAAGGCAAAATATATATTAGCATCGTCTCACTTTTTGAAGCATTTCTTACAGAGAAAGTTGTGTAGATGCTTAAAAAAGTGGTAGTCGGTGGGCAAGAGGTCTGGCAAATACGGTGGGTGAGTCATAGTCTCGCAACCTGATTTGTTCAACTTCTGCAGAGTCGTTTGTGCCACGTGTGTTTTCATAGAGAAAAATTCGCCCTGTTGACAAACGCTGGGCACATATGTTGAAGCTTCCGTTGCATTTCATGATTTTTTTTTTCTCTGATGTATTTTTTTTGCCCGGATTCAGGAGGCTTTGGTGGATAAGAACGGCTGCAGTCCATCAAACCTTTACCATAACCTTCTTTTAATGCAATGCTGGCTCCGGAAGTGTTTTAGTTGCTGATCGTGGTTCAGCCACTGCACCGAACGTTACCAGTGGTTGTAGACGTCCACTTCTCATCGCATACTACAATTCATTTCATAAAAAAGACAGTAAAATCATACCACCAACACTGTTTTTATTTTAATAGTGTTGCTTAAATGAAATATTTGAAATTTGATACTAAATTTGTCAGTAAGAGATATCGCTTGCGTTCAGTTTTAAAATGCTGAAATATATATAGTTTTTTCTAGCAACAATGTTGGAATTTTTTTTCTTTACAAAAAGTAGGAATGCGCCGAACGTTCGGAAAATGTTTGACCGGACATGCAAAAAATTAAAATTTTGGAAAACATATGTTTTCTTAGATTAGACTTGAAATTTAAACAATTTTTACAGTATTTGATAGCTGCGGTAAAATAAGTTAAATTTTAATATAAAACTTAAAAATGAAACTAGTTTAATTTTTCATATAACTAAACTTAACCTTAAACTAAACCTAAAATGTCAAACAAAAAAGATATTTTATTAAACGCGAGTCTGTTTAAAGAGATGTCCGTTGTTGTTGTGGTAAACAAATAAATATCTTTACATTTTTTCCATTTATGTTTGTCATATATAATATCTTGAAACCGAACTCTATGATAACATACTATGGAGTTCCGTAATAATGCTTATTTTTATTATGAATTATTATTATATAATCATACTGTGTAATAAAAATAACTTAAAACAAATTTATAATTTAATTTTTTTACATAATCAAATAATCGTTTAATAAAGAAACAAAATATCAAAATCATAAGTGAAGTTCAATTATCACTTTTTGTTCTCAAGTTGTAATGTATAAACTTTACCTAATCAACACTTTCTTGTGAAAGTCTGTTTCTATTGGTTCATAATTGTTGCCACCTGCACAAAAATGCCTTTCACTTTCTACAGAAGAAGGTGGATAAAAGAAGCTTTTGCGCTATTTTCTTTATATATTTTTCGACAACTTTTACATTATAAAAATAAACTTTCTTTTTCCATAACAAGTAGAAGTTTTAAGTATTCTTCAATTTCCTTTGTTTATCATTTGTATATTAGAACTTGATCTTTTCAATCTTTTGCTACTTCCAATATTTACAAAATTGGAATTATTTATAGTTTTTAGTTTGGTAACTAGAAGGAAACATTCTTTAAGTTTTGAATAAGCTGGTTTTACTTCATTTGTGTTACTTACTGTGAGTTCATCACAATCTGAATCAAAGGGTTCAAGCTTTAAATTATTTCGTTGCATTTCTTTTATCTGCTCATTTATCAAACTTTTTATTTTATACTCATCTTTCTTTCAAATGTTAATTTATATCTAGGGTTACAAAAAGTTGAAAGACATAGATTATTATTATATAAAATTATACCCAGTCTTTTTTCTACATACTTATTTAATTGTTCAACTAAAATAGTTATACTAAAAAAAGCCTCACATACTAATGCTTGAATTAAAAACCCTTTCTGAGCCGTAATTAAAAGAATAGATTCTGATAAATATATGAAGAAATAACATCTGACATACTCAACGGTTGCTAAGATTAACAGTTAAACGGGTCTAAATAATAAAAAACATTATCTACTAAACTCCATTAGAATAAAGTTAATTTTGATTGGGTAGTATGAGCAGCTGTATAGGTTGCCAAAAGAACTCTTTGGTCAAGCATTTTTCAATTATGTTGTAGGAACTATTCCATCTTGTAGTAAAATCTTAAACTAACTTATACTGATTAGTACCAAGTCGTTCCTGCATCGCTTCTAATTTTGCTGCTGTTGCTGGTGAATGTCGAGTTGTTAAGCATCTGCAACAACCAAAAATATCTTTCACAGATGTTTGCAACAAAACTGAATCATGCATATATAGCTGAATTGTATTCATAAAAAAAAGGCATTGACTACCATATTGCCAGCAATTATCAAACAAAACTTTTGTGTGTAGGATTTCAAAACTAGTAAAACCTCTATGTAAATACTCACTTTTGTTTTTTTCTGAGTGACTAACTGAAAAATGCATAACTTTGAGTACTGGAAAGTTCATTATTAAGCCAGTGAGCTTTCATGCTTATGAAGACAATATTTTGAACTCTTTGCTGTCCAAATTTATGTAGCAAGGAAGAGAGAACACGCAGCAAGGAAGAGAGAACACGCAGCAAGGAAGAGAGAACACGCAGCAGAAAAATTACTCTTAAGAGAGAGAAAATTACTCTTAATTCAAAATCTCATTTTGTATTTGTTAAACAACATTTTCACTAAAATAACTTTTAGAAGACTTTTGTTTGAAGACATTATTTTAAACTTTAACAAAATAAAAAAAATACTGAATTATAAAAAGTGAAATTTAAGGCAAAATTAAATTAGGCATTTTGAATACAATTTAGCTAAATATATCTTAAAACATAACAAATATGTAGCATTATGTATCTTACATAAAATACTATTATATCATTTTCCTTAAATGTTGTTCATTTATTTTTGTTACCTAACATTTATGTCTGTAGTTTATTGTAGAAACTGCAAATATCAAAGTCAATAATTAAAAAGTTAATATTGTATAATTAAAAATAGTACGTTCGTTATAAATCTTTAAATTTTTTACAATAAAAAATCTTTACAATTTTTACTTATTTTTTTTACTGATTTTTAATTATTTACACTACAAACAACTATTATTAGGGTTTTCAGTTTGAATATGTACAGGTTTAAACGTTCAAACTTTGACCGTTTTTTAAGAGGCCCAAGTTCATACTTTTTTTTTCTTACATGTTATACATGCTCAAATATGTATAAGGTAGGTGTGGGTTTTAGGCCCAGCGGGTAATAAGACCAACTACTCCAAACTACGAGAAAATATAAAATGCAAAACTTTTTTTTAGCATTAAAATATTAGAGTTATCGGTTTTTATCATTGGCAGCAAAAAAAAATCAGCCTTTCCTTACCGTGCGTTCGACAAAGCCAGATTACTTCGTTGGTTCCGTCAATAATTGTTTAAGTCTAATTTTTAAGATACGTACATAAGGTAATTTAAAGTACGTATTTTAACATTTGTAAATATTTTATAATGCTTCTATTTTTTCAAGTCACTTGTTTGCATTAAATATTTATTAGTTATCATTACTCAACTTTATGCACGTGTTGAAACAAATAGATACTTTATCGGTAAACGTGGCAGGTCCGAAGCGGGTAATAAGCTCCTTTAAAAATTACATATCGTTTCAGGTAATCAACCCAGTCCCAGATTCAGTCTGGATCAACAGCTCCAGTCAATCAAACCGAAATGAATCTTAATGCAAGTTTCACTGACTTAATGGCAAATCCTGATAAAAAGAAATTATAGCTATTGTCGGCCGCAAAATTTTAACTATGTTGCTAAAGCCCTTACAAACGGAGATTTTCAATCTTCTACTTCTAAAGCTGTTAATAAAAAGAATGGGCAAAGGAAAAGCAAATGTAAAGAAAAGTAAGTTTGTAAGTGTGGATGTGAATGATTGGTTTTGTTCGTTGTGCCAGCTAAAGTCTGTGGAAAGTATGCGACAATGTGGTAAATATAAAGTATGGTACAATGGGGCGTGCATGGAGTAAAATTCTGAAGATGACGAAGATTTATTTTAAGAAGTATGTCCATTCTGTGAAGATTAATGATTTTCTTTGTAACATTTTTTTTATTGAATTTTTTTAATTTTCCGTTGTTATTCACTGTTGTATAAAAATCTGGTTCTTTTGAAGTATATAAATATGCAAGTTTACTTATTATTTTACAAATGTGAAATTTATTTATTTCTTTTTTGTATTTTTTACATTCTCCTTATTGTCCCCTAAATGGATAATAAAGCCTACTTAAGGAATGTTAAAAAAAAAACACGAACAACTTTTGTTATAATTAATTTCTCAATATGCAGATATCATTTTTACATTAAGGAATGATCCATCTTAAGCAGTAATCAAAAATATTTTTTTTTAAACTGTGTTTTTTTAGACAGTTTTCGTTACTCTTAATTTTTGTTGTACAATTAATTAAACTTTAAAAGCGTTGCTTTTTTTTCAAAAGCAACACTTATAAATTTTAAGTCTCAAATGGAATATGTAAAAAAATGATTTTGAACTTTTAAAGTTGTAAAATTAAAATAATTACGTGCGTTACACATTTTTTAGTTGTCAAAGAAATCCCTTGGTGATACCAATAAAATAGATCGTTAAAAAGTTCTGAATTAAAAAAAAAAAGACGAGGTAATTCAGCTTTGACAAGCCAATAAAAGGTTTAGTTATACAAAATAAAAAATATGGATAAGTTTATGTAAGCACAATTATAAGATCTGAGGTATGGGGCATTTCAAATTTTCCGAAGAATTACAGAGTTCATTTTGTAAACTCTGTAAAACAATTTTCAAAAAACCTGGCTCAACAACTACAGCTATTACAAGGCATATAAAAAAAAAACACAACATTGAAATACTTAAATGCAATTACTCTGTTCCCGAGGCTGACGCAAACATTGCTGCTACCAAAATGCTGCAAATTGAAAGTTTTTTCAAGGTTTGAAATTTTGAGTCAACTATCATCTATTGATGGAATCAGCTTTCACACCATTGCTAAAATGAATCCGTAAAAAGATAATCCTTGAAATTTGCACAAAAACATTATAGCTTCTGTTACTGATGGAGCTAGCTTAATGAAAATTAGTCATGACACTAAACCTAAAGATCAAATTTGTTTCAATTACACTATTTATTTATGTGAGACTGATGTGCTCTACAAAAGACAAAGTTGATGCAGATGGTGCTGATAATAACCCTATTAGTGGTGATATGGAAGCTGTAGATTATTATCAAGGTTGTAGTAATGATGGAACTGGAATTTAGTGATGATAATCAAACTGTTCATGCAACTAGCAAAGATTCTATTTTATTATTGAAACTTTAATATCAAGAAACTGTGCCAAAAAAGAGCAAATTCGTTAAAAAATTTCGTAGATCACCAGTGAGCAATTATGATAAACTTCAATTAAATATAATTGAAAAGTTTGGAAAGAAATAAGCTTTGGTTTGTGATTCAAGGACAAGATGGAGCAGTACTATTCATATGCTTGAACGTTTTTTGGAGGTGCAAACAGAAGTAAAAATAGCTCTGATTGGTATGAATATTGATCTTCCGCTAACTAAAAATGAGCTCGATGTCCACAAGCTATAAAAAATAGGCTTTAAAAAATTTGTTGCCCGTACATGCAAAAATAAGCCCATTAGGTCAAGAAAGAAATACGCGCTACTTTCCTAATTTTTATTGAAACAGTTATAATATAATGCAGTGCCGGATCAAGGGGGCTAGGGGGCTAAAGCCCCCTCCTTTTTTTTTTTAGTCATTTTTAGGCTAAAGCTTATAAAAATCTAAAAAATCTCTGAAAACTAGCCTTTAAAAACAAAAATCCGCCATTGATATAATGATTAATTGACATAAAATAAACAAGTAAACAGAGTAAATGTCCTCTTTAAAAAAGTAACAACAAAACAAATTCCAAGACTTAGTAAAATCAAAATTTATTGAAAACATAAACTAAAAGTTAATCAAAACAATTTTCAAACTAAAATTCAAAAATATTTGCAGAAATTTGCCACCCTAAAACATTTTTCGCCCTAAGCTAAAGTTTATCCATCCTATAGGTTAATCTGACTCTGTTGATCCCATAAATAAACTTTGTGTTGCTTTAAAACCACTAAAATTGGCCATTAATACTATTTCAAAAGGATTTTTCTAAAACTGTGATTGAATTTACAAGTAAAAAATTCTATGAAGCTAATATACTATAGATCAGCTTGTTAAACATTTGAATAATTGAAAGAAGAAACATTTATTTAACACATCTCATGAAGTACTTGTCAAATTCAAATGTCTTTAATAAAAATTTGGCAACAAAACTAAAAAAAAAAAAGACAAACCAATCTTGCTACTAATCTCATTCAGCGATTATTTCAGTTATTTGACAATAGCTCTGATGATGACAAGAAAGTAAATACTAATAGTAAACGTAAAAAGTATCAAAAATGAATTGAATTTGGCTCAATAACTCCATCTTTTTATTGAACAATTAGACGCTGAAATGAAACTTGACCATCATTAAATTGGAACAAACCTTGTTCAAAATGAAATGGCTGTTTTTAAAGCTAGCAAATTTATAGATTTACTTTTCAAAGCTCTTCAAACAATTCCTTCTACACCCGTAGAAGCAGAGTGAATTTTTTTGTAGTCTCGGACTTTTTACTGTTAAAATGAGAAATTCTTTAAATGACGAAACTTCGTACTACTTTTGTGAGTTTTAACACAACTAAAATAAATTTCAAAATAGTTCGAACTTTTTTAAGTAATAGTTTAATCATGTTCAGCTTCGAACTTTTAAAAATAAATTCTACCTAGAACCCCTAACTATTAATTTACTAAACTAACACAATAAGACATCTCAAAGTTGATTACTTATATTTCAAACAAATAAATAAGCGTTTTTTAAAAAAAAATGCTTCAAATATTTATAGTTTTTACATCAAGTTTAAAAGCTAGCAATAGTTCGGTTATAAAACGGCAATCTTAGTTCTTAACTTTTCACCTCGATTTTTTTGCAATTGAAGACAACAATTGAATTTGTTAGTATTGAAGATAAAAACGACAACAACCTAATTAAATTTCCTACACCTAAATTTCAAATTAGATATACTCAAAATATATCGAATCATGGTTCCAGAACTTTTTTTTCATGGTTCCAGAAATTTTCCTCGTTGTTTGTTTAGAAAAGTAGAGCGTAAAAAATTCTAGAAAAAGTTTCTTGCGGAATTTCAAACTTTAAGTGAAGCAAAGTTACAAACTTTATATTATAACTTGTTTCAAATTCTATATTTATAGCCCAAATCTTATAGTTTTGAGGATATAGTCTCTTGTTTTTCATGTTTTTATCGTGTTTTTTTTTTGCTACCCTAATATACAAGACAGCTGCATGGCAAACTAGTTGTGAAATGGAAAACAGTGGGACTTTTGGATAATGGTGAATTAAATATTTTTTTAGAGTAACTGTTATACATGATAAAAAATAAATAGTCATGGGTGAATTTTTCATATTTGCTCTTCCATTTTAACAAATGTTTGTTCAACTCTCCCTTCCGCCACTGCCAAATCCTATTGATTTACTTTTAATAAATCACAAATACTGGTTTAAAATGAATGGCCATTGAAGAAATTTATAACTTGTTTTTAAAAATGCAAAAATTCTCAATTTATGCAAAAAATTGAAACGTGTTCTGATATATTAATTATGTAAAAACAGTGTAATTTACATACACAAATAAAAAAAAATTCAAAACAAAACTTTAATGTTTTTGCAAAAAGAAATGCTTTATTTTATTCAAACTTTTTAAAGAATTTTACTCTATTTATATATCTTTCAAAAAAAAAAGTTATTTAAAATTGGTTTTATTTCAGCTAAAGTTGTTTTTTTTTTACTATATATATATGTAAATGCAACAAGTAAACTAACAAATGTATACAAATAATACAAAAAAAGAAAACTGAAATATATTAAAAATGCAAGTTAGTTATCTAATGTCTTATATGATTGATTTTAAATTATTGAAAAGTTTACTATGCTTCAATACCGGTAGCAGAAATAAAGTAAATACCTCCGCAATAACTAACACTTTCATTTAAATACAACTGTGTTCTATAAATAACCTCATTCCCGCATGTTGTATTGCAAAAAGACCAACCACTCCATACAGTATTTTTTATGTCTAAAAAAATTAAAAAAATTAAAAATTCAATATTTAAACGTACGCTATGGAAATCAAGTAAGAGACAGAACCAAATTAATAAATACTTTATAATATGATTAAAAATTATAATAATTTCTGAAAAATATCTTTATACCTTCCATTTTAACGGTATCTCTTTTCAATGTTTTTAAATAATAATAAAAATAAAAAGTTTAAACAACATACCTAAAATATTTTATGTCTTAAAATTATGTGTGTCATACAGTCAGGCTCGACTTTCTCATCTATTTCCCCTTCCTTCCCTCGTATATATATATATATATATATATATATATATATATATATATATATATATATATATATATATATATATATATATATATATATATATATATATATATATATATATATATATATATATATATATGTATATATATATATATATATATATATATATATGTGCACTAAATATCGAGAATCATTTGATAAATTAGAAACTAAAGAAACCTGAAAAATAGTTAGATTTACAAAATACGTTGTCAACAAGTGCTTTGATATTCTCGATTTTGTATAAAATGCATATCCACAATAACCATTTTATACTTAGTTGAAGACTCAATCCAAGTCATTTTTACGATATATTTTTCAATAATGCTGATAATAAATTTTTTATAGTTAGCAAAAATCGCTGTTCCCTTAAACCCAGTTAAAAATAGTTTGTTCTACATGGTTAACATGTGCGTTCTGTGTGGGATTCATGGGATTCATGTGGGTCGGATTTTCACATGTAGTTTCAGCATGAAAGTTTGTAACAACAAACCAAAAGGGAAATTTCGCATGTGGTACGCATGTTCTTTATGTGTAACAAAGCTATATAGGATTTCCATATAGGCTTCATGTGAATTTATAAGGTATTTATTCATATGGGAAAATCTACGCGGTTTTTTTGGGATTTGCGTGGGTTTTTAAGTAGACTGGAAACTAAAAAAAGTTTTGTTTTCGAAAGGATTTTGAATTCGCTGTTTTATTACACGGCTTTAAACATTTTGGACTGAAGAGTTCGTTATTTCTAAATATTATGTTATTGCAATATTTTTTAATAATTTTTAAATTATTAAAGATTATTGCAATAACATAATGTATTAATTAATACATATTGTATTTATTATTTATTACTTGTTTTATATTATATTGAAAAATATAACGATGGTAGTAAATGGCTAATTTCAAGAAAAGAATGCGCCTATTATAAATGAAATACCATTTAATTTTATTTCCACTCCTAAAGAATTATGTATATATATATATATATATATATATATATATATATATATATATATATATATATATATATATATATATATATATATATATATATATATATATATATATATATATATATATATATGCATATATATATATATTTGCATTCAAAGTAAAGAATTATTGAAAATAAATTATGCGGTTAATTTTTTTTCTTTTTAAATATTTTGAACATTTAATACTCTATTAGTATTAAATATTCAAAAAAATAAATTTTATATAAAAAATTAAAAAAATCAACAGCATAAATTATTTTCCATTGTTCTTTACGTTAAAATGCATATCGTAATAGTATATTGGAACGGATGGAGTATTTAAATTTATATTAAAGTTAGGTCTAGACTTATTTTATTTTATCTACTAGATTTAAATTTATATTAGATCTAATATTTGATTATTATGTTAAAAAAATTAATTTTTACCATTTATCTTAGTCTTTTTTAAAAAGTATAAAATAAAAAGCATATTAGTGCTGAGTACATTTTTATCAAGCGATCCTTGACCCCTTATTTTATTAGTTAGACATACAAAGGTGGGCTCATTAATTGTAAAAGAACAAATAATATTGCTCCAAGCTATATATATTTTTATTTCTTTTTCTAACGCAATGTTTTCCAATTTTTTAGACTTAATATAGTATTTTAAAATATTAAAAAAGGTTTTCATATGTTATCTTTACTTTAAACGTGAGTTAACTTCAACTAATTCTTCTATTACTTTTTTATTTATAAACTGTAACAAAAATAGTTTATCCCTATAATATTAACAGATGATTGTTTTAATATGTAATGTAAATTTATGACAATTCTTTTATTTAAAAGTTAGAGAAAAAAAAGAGTAAATTTGAAAACTTTCAGAGGTAAATTTAAAAGACTTTCGATCGAATGATTCAGCAAACATGGAGAAGGAAATAATTCCAAAACAAAAATGTGCAAGGAAAATCATCTAGTTATGAATAAAATATTTTTGAGTATGAAAGAAAATGTAAAGCAAAAGTATGCAACCTTACTAACAAGTCATACAAGATTGATTTTTGATTGATGGAACAAGAGATGATAGCTTGTATATTGATGGTGCTACCATGGTAGTATTTGTAAAAAAAAAAGAAAAAGATAAAAAATCTTACAAAGGTTTTTCATCTCTTTCTCCAAGATTGGCAGCTGGAGCATATCTAACTACATTTACAAACAAATTTTGGGCCTTGTCTTCATTAGAAAGAGCATGATTTGAAAAACCAGCATTCGACAACATTTTTTTTTTATAAGAACGGATAAGAAATTTATCTGGTAGAGAGTGGAATCAGGAGTAAAAAAATGGTGAGTACGATAAAGAGACGCAAATTTCTGGTATGTTTTAATCCAATTGTCTACTGCTTATCATGATTATTTACATTAGCATGTACCTTCGCACTTTCGGGCTAACTTTGTAATGGATTGTATATGGTTTTCATGAGAGGCTAATACTAAAAGATAATCTGCGCAAAGTAGAAGACTCAGGATATGTGTTGTTATTTATCAATATAAAAACATAAATAACATTGCAGTATTACAATATTTATTAGCAGTAAAGAGTTTTGTTTGGTTTTAAATTTGCCAGCCATATTAAGCACCAATCTATTACAGAAAAAAGATTAGCTGCCTGATCGATTATTCAAAAGTAATAATTTTTTGTCAAGATTAAAGTTGTTTTGTTAACAAATTCACACTAGATATAAGTTTGTCACTAAGATCATTAGTATATAAAATAAAAAATAAAGGACTAAGGGTAAATCTTGTGGCTTCCGTAAAGTCACTGGAGTAGCATAGTATACATGTGTATGTATAAGACGTTTGTTTTACACGTACACATGTATGCTATGTATACATATGTATGTGTAAACATAGTATACATGTGTATGTGTAAACATAGTATACATGTGTATGTGTAAACATAGTATACATAAATATGTGTTAACATAGTATACATGTGTATGAGTAAACATAGTATACATGTGTATTTGTAACATAGTATACATGTGTATGTGTATGTGTATTACTATTTTGACGACATGTGTATGTCGTCAAACGAGTATACATGTGTATGTGTAAAACGGCCATTTTGTTAAAAAATTTATATTTCTACCAATACTAATACAATGATAACAAATAAAGTAAAAAAAAAGATAGGTAAAAATTTAAATGTTATTCACTAATAATATAATGTTCGTTAAACTTTTATAACTTCACTTTAACATTTTTTTAGTATAATTTCCTTGTTATGTTTATATTTTAAAATAGTCAACTGAGAGTTCAACTGAGAGTTCAAGTTAGGTTTTTGTTATTAAGTATTGAACATTAAATAAACATCATATTAAATTCATTAAACTAAATCTGAGTTATTTTGATCTATTATAAGGAAAAGTTTAAAGTTAAAAAAATTTATTTTCAATATGAGTTTATTAAAGGGAAACATTTTATACAGGTATACGTACCGCAAAAACACCAAAAATAACACATCTCAGTAACCTTTTTATTATTTTCTTTTGAGAAAAACTATTTTGAATGTGTTTAGAGTTGCTTAAAATGTTCTTCCCAGCTAGTTTGAATAATTTTTAAGAAATAGTTTTGTTGTTATTGTTAATTGACATTTTGTTGTTTTTTGTATGTGTTCCTCAAAAACTGCATTCAATTTATCGATTGTATCTCTGCATCTAGTGAACCTATGAAACTGAAATTTGGCGTCTAAATATTATTTGATCTGCTTTAAATATAACCAGTTACTGCTAAATTAATCTTGGATAAAATACCCGATGCACCACAAAAACCACTAGATAGATACCCCAAAAACAACATTGATGTTTTTATAGGCTATACATGAGTTCTTGCTTTTTACTATATTGATTCTATGTAACCTCTTGATGTCATTTTAGTGTTTTAAACAAAGTTTGCATCGTGTTTTTTACGTATTAAAAATCAGTAACATTTTTAGAACATAATAATTGCAAGAATTTATTAAAACTTACTTTGTGTTTGAATCTAGATCAAAATCTAAATTTTTACTTGAAAGTTGTTTTTTAGAATTTAGATATGTTCTGTAAGCGACTAATGCACTAAAATATTTAATTATAATTTTTTTAATTAAATAGAGTTAGAAAAAAATAACATAAAAAAAGAATCCAAAATTTCAGCTCAGACAGGAAAAATAAAATCTATTTGTGGAAAAAGTTGTTTTATTATCTAAAGAACATGGTTCACGATTCAGTGAACTATGTCAGTAAAAACAAGTTTGGTTATTTAGTTATTTATTTCTCCTCCCTACACTACTAGTGTAACTCAGTTGTTTGACCAAGTTAATAAAAATCTTCATCATGAGTACAGAAATGCAATCAATTAATCGAGAGGGATTTATGACCATCTTAGGCAATATATGGGAGAAATGGGCATCAAAACCGTTCTTGCTTCAAGTGCAAAAAGAGTTGAAATAACACCTTTTTAATTAAATGTTAATTTTATGCAACAAGACAAATTTGAGCAAGCTGCTGCGTGCATTCATAAAGAAGAACCAGCGTAAGCTTTTTTCAAAAAACCATTTCGTTACCAGTTGGTAAAAGAAAAGGTTTGGCAAGTTACTGGAAAGATAAGTTTGACCAGTCTCAAATCTTGATTAGAGGAATGGCTGAGTAAAACTTTTAATTAGAAGTTACTGGAAAGATAAGTTTGACCAGTCTCAAATCTTGATTAGAGGAATGGCTGAGTAAAACTTTTAATTAGAAGTTACTGGAAAGATAAGTTTGACCAGTCTCAAATCTTGATTAGAGGAATGGCTGAGTAAAACTTTTAATTAGAAGTTACTGGAAAGATAAGTTTGACCAGTCTCAAATCTTGATTAAAGGAATGGCTGAGTAAAACTTTTAATTAGAAAATAATCCTGATCTGCTAACTATTAAGAAAATCCCTTAAAAAAATATCAACTCGTGTTACTCAGGTCTATTGTTCAATGCGCGCAAAAGATGTTGCAGCAAAAGTAAAAGATATAAAAGAAGAGAAACGACGAAAGATAACAGGAAAAGTGGAAGCCAAAAAAAAAAGAAGCTAAAAAAAAAATTATTAAATGTAAAGTTGAATATTTTTGCAAACAAAGGAAATGTCAAGCTTTTGGCCTAATGTAATATCCTAATTGTCTTGATGTTCTCCGTTCAATTTGCAGCAAAGTGAGTTGCAGAGTTGATGGTGTTAAACCGGTTATGCTTTTACCAGCAAACCAGCACTTTTCCACATCTAAAAAAATGATATATGACCATTATAACAAATGCAACGGCAATCAATAATCTTTTTTTGAATTAAAGTAATCAGTTAAAGTACTATTTCATTTACCTATGTTATCTTAACATTGTTATAATAACCTATTGTTACAATAATGTTATAAAGTCTGCAGCCATTTTAGATGTCTGTGTTATTACTGTTGTGTTCAAATATTGTTTTTAAGATAAATATATACTATTTTCTTTAAAAACAATCAAATACAATGGTAATTTATTGTTGTTGTTTTTTATTTAAAAACATGGTCAATAAAGTGAATTCTATAAAATGTACCCCAAAAACAACAATAAAACTTCCTTTCTTAATGAGGGTGTTATAAAGATTCATAACTTCTTGAGAAAAAAAAAACATTTTTCAGTATCTAGTTATAATCCATAGGTAATAGAAAAACTATAATTTGTTAACTTTTCTTTGATACGGCTTCTAGGCTCCTACAAAACAAAAAAAACTACACATTTTTGTAATTGAAATTTTTACTCTAGTGCAAATACCAAAATATTTAACAAATAAAAAAACCACTAAAACTGGTTTAATTTATAGGCTGACATATTAGCTATTACATTTAGCTAGGAAGTTCACGCCTTCTTCCTTACCGTGACGCTAAAATATGTCAGAGTTTGTTTCAAACATGGATCTCCTGTTTCTAAAGCAAGCGCTCTAATCATTGCACCACGGCCGCAAATAAGACAACCAAAGGTATTGATATGTTTATAACTAAACCAAGTTTGCTATCGTGAAGTTAAAACATTTTATTATACTGTGCTTTATAAGCACACAATAAAGATGGTCCTTCAACATCAATTATAAGTGAAGTAAGTTTTAACTTTTTTAATGAGCTACAATACCATTAAGATTAGTCTAAAAAAAAATCTTCTCTTCATCTGATGTTAGATTTTGGTATGAAATATGTTTACTTCGTTTAAGTCAAGCTTATTTTTCAAGTTCAATATTTCAATTAAGTTTAGTACTGTATTAATTGAAAGGGAAAAGTTTAAACTTCTACTTTTTAAATACTGTGTTAAAAATATTTAGAAATAGTAAATTTATTATTAGGTGGTTTGGAGTCAATTTATTTTCTCAGTATAATTATCAAGCTCTATTATTTCTCAGTGTAGTTTTGGTATATTTAGCATATTATTTCTCAGAATTATTTCGCAGTATAGTTTCAGTATATTTAGTATATTATTTCTCAGTATTATTTCTCAGTATATTTTTAGTATATTCAGTATATTATTTCTCAGCATTATCTCTCAATATACTCAGTATAGTTATCAAGCTCTATTATCAAGCTCCTTATCGAAAATATCATCGTAGATGATAACATTAATAAGGATTCTCGTTTATTTACTTTAGAATAATTTTCTCTTTTTTGGATCGAATTAGAAATTGAAGCAACTTAAATGTTATAAAATGTTATGAATGGCTTTAATCCCATCTCTACGTCATGGATTAGCTTTTATCCAGTTTCTGCGTCTTCTTTTAAAAGCTGATTTTTCAAAGAAACTTTATAAATTTCAAATCCGCATTAGTTTTCATATATATTTAAGTAACTAATGACACAACAACTGGTTGAAATAATTTAATTCTTGTTAAAAGATTTATAAGTGAATAATTTTTCTAACAAAACATACAAACATCTCAATGTTTTGTTTTTGAAATTTTTTTTTTGAAAACTAGAACGTTAACTTTCACAAGTCATCTATAGTGTCGAAAAATAAACTTCAGAATAGCGTTGAATATATTAAAAAGGGTTGATTTTGCAACAAAAAAAAGGAATAGTTTTGTAAATGAATTTAATAAATAGTGATGAAAACAAAAAAAGGAATAGTATTTCAAATAGTAAAAACGGAATAATGTCGCAAATAGTTTATTTCTGCAATTGCTTATTTGTTTTGCTTATCTTTATAGCATACGAATTTAACAGAAAAAAAAAGAAGAAAAAAAAAAGAATAATTTGCTTAAATTAAGAAAGAAAATATTGCTACCAAACGTCAAACCCTCAGTCAATGTAGCGTCATTCCTTTGCAGCATCAGGCTAGAAGATTTTTGTGTATGTATCGAAGCCCTCGGTAACAGGCTATTTCAGTATGACATCAGACATGTTATCTAAACACCAGTTCATAGTTATTATTACATTTTTATTTTTTTTAATATTCGTTGATATTCTTTAGGACAATATTCCTTTTTCTATTTTCGACACTACTAATTAAATTTCTTTGCGACGCTACTCCTTTTGTTTTTGTTTTCGACACTATTCCGATTTTACTATTTGCGACACTGTTTCTTTTTTTGTTTTTGGAACTATTTATTCTCTCCTTATATAAACTCCTTTGCTAGATTATTTCTTTTATTTATTTTCGACACTATTCATTAAATTCATTTGCGACATATTTCATTAAATTCATTTTCGACGTTATTTATTATTTTTGTTATTCGAGAATCAATAATGCGACAATTTGCGATACTATTCCTTCTTCACATTTTCGATTATAAAAATTTGTGGCAATCAAAATTTTGCGACATTATTTTGCAACACCGTTATTATGTAAAATTGTATTCATTAATATTTATTTTTTTATATTTTTTGAAAATGTTTGAGAACACTTTGAGAACGAGATAAGGCGATTTACTTCATAAACCCAATAAACAAATTAGCTTTAATTAGCAAAAAATACAAATACAATTTTTAATATTTGTTTTAAAAGTTCTTTGAAAATAAATTCATTTTTAACTTTTTTTAGTTTTGGAGAATTTAGTTTAAATCGCTTACTGTACGGTAAATTTCGCTCGTGCGAAATTTACCGTACAGTAAGCGATTTAGATAAAAAGCATCACATACGCGATAGATTAAAAAATTCCGCATATATTTATATTAAAATTCCCAAACTGAATAAAGTAGCGAATACCAAATAAATATGTCTCTCTGAAAGTTTTAACGATTAAATTACTGTTTAACTATAGATTTTCAAAAATTATCATAAAAGCATTCGGACCTGGTATCGAGTACTTTTATCTATTAGATCTATAAAATATTTTTCATCTATATGCCATGTGGAATTTACCATATAAAAACCATGTGTGATAAAACAATAACCTCCACATCGGTTATGTGCGGCAGAAATAAGATGTGTATCTCATGTGGAATTTGCTAAATATATAAATGTGGGGTTTGCCACCTATATCTCGTGAAGATTGGTATATCACGTGGGTCAAAATATTACTCTCCACATAGGTTACATACGAAAAAAAAAGCAAATAGAAAACTTTTGATTTGAAGATATATATATATATATATATATATATATATATATATATATATATATATATATATATATATATATATATATATATATATATATATATATATTGGATAATCAGCCACTTTCAATGGTTAAAGACTAAGGTTTTAACTGATTGCCTGTTAACCTAAATCTTTATTGTAATTAAGACTTAATCAAAAATGAAATATGGCAAACCGTAAAACTCGTAAGTTTTTTAATCATAAAAAGTTAGTTCTAAAAAAAATTTTATTCAAACAATAAAAAACAAACCTTTATTATTGCAGCTAAAATTTGTTTGAGCATCAATAAATTTTGTCCAATACATACCAGGGCACGTTTGGCTAAACTCTGCCCAAGTTTCTATTGAAAAATAACAATTCATATAGTAAACTGAATATTACTTTTAAAAATACAATGTTATTATAATTGAGTATTTTATTTTATTTCAACAGTTTTTTTGTAAGAAACTATTGAAAGTTAAACTACTTTAGTTACTAAGTTGTAGGTACTCATACTTTAGTCGATGATGGACACTAGGCAAAGGTAACTTGTTAGGTCATAATTTTATGCATCGAAAACTCTACCTTGTTAATTTGCTTGCTAAATCAATTGTCAGAAATTCTGCACCCACAAGTTATTGGCGTATATTACCAAAGCAATAAAGTTTATTTCAGGTTACTATAATATAAATATAGCTATAGAGGTAATACCTAATAAAAACCAAGCTTTTAAAAAGCGCATTTTTCAAAACAACTTTGATTCTTTTAAAAAACACTTATCTCTAATTCATAGGAACTTTACTAAAAATTCTGATCATGCAAATTTTGTTTACAACTCTTTTGTTTTAGCGTTCTAATATATATATAACACAAGTTTTTCTTTAATTAAATTTAGTTGTTTGATTGATTTTATTTGTATTATGATTTGATATAAAAAAATTTTGATGCAAAGAAAAAAACTTGGCTTTATTTTATTAGTTTAATTAGTTTAATTTTTTTTTAAGTATTGGAATGCAGTGTTAATATTTTTTTGGCATCGATAGATTGGTATTGAAAAAAAATATAAGGTATTGGATTTGATATCTAAAAAAAGATTTAAAATGAGCCCAGGTTTACGCAACTTTTAAACTAAAGAAGTTTGATTTTTAAATATATTAAATATTTTTGAAAGCATTTTATTTTTTTATACAAAACATTTTATAAAAATACAATAGGCAAGAGTATAAAAAAAAAAGGATTTTTTTTTCGCTACGTAAATGCACTTAGGTCAAAACTGTCCGTTATGATGGATTGTCAAGAGGGCTATCATAATATCAAAGGACGCATGGTTCTGTTTCACTAAAAGGGGTAAAAATAACAACGACCAATATCCAAAGGCTATTATATTTTCTGTAGTGTCTTTATAATAATAAGTAATGTCTAATATTAAAGATTAATTATTAATGGAAAAAATCATGATTCAAAGAAACTTTTACCTCTTGAATACAATATCAAGTTAAAGTGGTTCCAAATCTAAATCATAAAAGAAATATTAAAATTGCTTTGATTTGAAATTAATTAATACAGTAGTTTAAAAAAAAAGACTAAAACATGTGTTTTTAAATTTTATTTATAAGTCATCAGATCAAAACCAAAAGTTTTGAATAAAAATGATAAGTTTATATTGATCTTCCAAAAACCTTAGTTACTATTTTTTATTTTTTTCAATTTTATCGGGAAAATTAAAATTATTAAAAACAAATTCGATCTTTTGTTAAATTTTTTTACGAATTTGCTTAAACACATAATAAAATTTAACAAAATTTGCTTAAATTATTGTTATATAGTTGAGTGGGGATATTTTTTTGTGTTGATTACTAACTTTATGGAGTTTTTTGACTTTTTTAGATATTTGTTTGTTCTTTATTTCGGACTGTAGTTGCTCTATGCACTTATTGTGATCAACTCCAGCTAAAAGGTTTATTGAGTAAAATAAAGCATTTCTTTTTCTAATAAAATGGTTTATCATGTGTCAAATCAGAAGACAATTTTTTGTCTTTTGATACACTAATTTGAAATCCCTATTGTAAAAGAGTAAAAAAGTTGTATATTGATACAAATTCAAGTTGTGCCAAATTTTAAAATAATTGGCGCCTTGGAGTTGCTTTTTTTTAAAATAACAAGTGTACTGCCAATTTTTCAAAAAACAAAAATAACAAATTCTATGCATTTATTAAATATGTAATAGACTTTAAATACAACACAATTACTCAGCTAGAAATGTTTGCAATTTTTAAGAATTTCAGTTGTTGCTGAAGGGCAGGGTTTTTACGAAAAAATACTGTTTTTTATTTTCCTGTCTCAAAGTGTCTTTGTCTTAAATTCGTGTGTCCGAACCACAAACTTGATGCTGAAGGCTTAGTTAAAGGTTTGACGCATTTTTTTATTCCTTGATATGGCATCCAAAGAATGGTTATGTTTCAGATGTGCGCATTTGTAACATAACCTTTTGTTAACATTTTTATAAGATTTTCATCAGGTTTTAGTGTGAGATACTGCTCACAGTAATTGGAGGTTCATTGAGTTTATATTTTTTTCAATTAATTTGGTTTGTGTGATTTTTTGCTTCGAATACCTTCACCATACCTTCACTATTTGTTAAAATGCCAATTTTCTCACATGTGGGCGAGTATCCGATATCATAGCAATAAGCATGTTTATCTGATCATCAAAAAAGCATAACTTTGTACCACTTGATTAATGTTTTTATGTCACTTCTGGCATACTGGGTAAGTTAATAGTTACCCATAAATGTCTAGTACCTTCAACGCATAATGGATTACATCTTACATTGAACCATATTTGGCAGTAAACTTTAATAACGAACTCATTATTTTCTTTTAGTCTGTGCGATGGTTTGCAATTTCCAACTTAATATCAATACCTTATACAGATATTTGAAATAACAAGAAATGGCAAAAAAACACTTAAAAAAACACAAAATAATATGTTAAATGAATTTAAAACATTTTTTTATTAGCCAAAGATGACCTAGAACTTAACAAAATCTCCTAAAATTATTTAGTAAATAAGGTGTATCGTTAAATTATTGAAGAAATTCAAAATTTAATAGAGTGCATATTGATATAAATAACAGCATTTTAAAACTTTTTAAAAATTTTTTGATGTTTTAAGTTTGCGCCATTAAAAAGGTCTTGAAGAATATGTTTTCAATGAGTTTATAATAAAAAATTGCAATTTTATATTAAAAAAATATTTAATCAAAACTACTTTATATTAAGGTAAGCAAATTGTTAAATTAAATTAGAATCAAAACAATACATGAATGACGTTTACAGCTATTTTACCACTCCACCGTTTTGCGCCTTCTGAAGCGAATGTGCCTCAAGACTGTATTGAGAAATGTATTGTTTCACAGTATTATACTCCATATAATATCTTGTTAGCAAACTGATACACTCAAGCATGAAAGTTAACCGTCATACAGGGGCGGATCCAACATTTTTTTAGTCTTTTATAAACATTTAAAAAAATATTTTATCAATATGTTGCTCTCACGTTTGGGGCAGAAAAGGGCCAAAACTTTTCGAGTTTTTTGTTCCTGGGCTCCAGTCATAGTAAATTTTTCAAAACATTTTTATTTTACATAAATATAAACATATTTGATGTTTACTCCATGCTTTTTAAATGATTTCATTATTTAATAATAAAAGATATTTTACTAATTATAAATTAAATTTTAATATTTTAGTAAATTAAAATAGTGACAACATCATTTAGTCATCTGTTAGCCAATTTTTGTCTTTATTGCTTATTTGCAGTAGGTTGTACTAGGGACGTCCGTTGAAGGTCTAACGGACGTCAAAACGACCATAGGATTTTTTTTTTTTTTTTTTTTTTTTTTTATTACAATTCACCTCCTCAAGGCCGAGAAAGCCACTACAGACGAGGAGGCTACTTATTTGTGGCTATAACCCTCTCTCAACTCTATAACTCCGAAACACAAACTTGACGAACAAGGCCGCTGCGCGGAGAAACGAGTTGAGCGCGGTACTACCAGGGACGTGGTGGGGATCGAACTCGGAACCACTCGTTTATGAAACGAGCGCTCTACCACTACACCACTACCGCATAATCTACTACCACTACACCACTACCGCATTTATCTCGATTACCCTGAAGGTCACCTAAGACCTTATGTTGTATCCCATGAATTTTTTTTTTTTGTTTGAGAATAGTTTACTCGCATATTCTTTAACTGTAAAAATTAAATCTTTTGTTGGCAGCGTTTTGAGAAAACATGCTTAGAAGTTTTATAAATAACGATGATTCGGTACGAAAATAACATTTTTTCGTTAGCCATTATAAATTTTTATTTTCTGTAATTGCAACAACGAGATTAGTGATAGCAATATTTTGTGGCTTCTCATTGGCTAATAGTTGTTGACTATAGAACATTGCCATAAAAGTCTAAATATAAAAACATTGGTTATAACGATAAAATAACAGTGTTTTTATCTTCTAACTTGATACTTTTTATATTTAGGTCTAGTTCTGTTGAAACTAGTTAGAAGCACTACTTCTATACTATTGAAGTTTAATTTTAATATATATATATACATATATATATATATATATATATATATATATATATATATATATATATATATATATATATATATATATATATATATATATATTAATATTTTATTATTATTATTATTATTATTTTATTATTATTGTTATCACTATTATTATTACTTTTATTATTACTATTATTATTTCTTTTGAACTAAATCAATCAAAATAGTATGACATGGCTATTTTGACCAATTTTTTTTAACTAGAAGCTGAGAAATTTAAAGTAAATGTCATTGTTATGAAAGTTGTTTTTTTTGTGCGTGTGTGTGGTTATTAAGGTGCTCCCAGAAGTCCTTACGTTCTTATCACTGAGTAGTGCAGAAGAGCATTTAAATAAGAAGTTCACGTATCCTTCTTTACCAATGTCGCCTAATGGACTAGAGATGGTGTCAAACCTCGGACCTATTTTTTCTAAGCCAGAACTTTAACCACTGCACCACCAATTAAAATAGTATGACACGTGCTATTTTGACCATTTTTCAACAAGAATATGAGCATTTTAAAGTCAATTTCAGTTTTATAAAAAATTTTTTGCAACAATATAAACTGCTTACTAACAGTAACAGTCTCTTTTCTTGAAAATTTCTTGAAAAAATATTTATAATATTAGTAAGAATTTAACTTGATATCTTGGTTTTTGTTCTTTTGGCTTGATCAACTTTGTCTCTAATTAGGGTAGTAACATGCCTCTAGTAGGCTTATTTGTACGGTGTATCACAAAGTATAAATCTGTTTAAAATACAAATAAAAATGTATTAAGTGTTTTTATTTTATTGCTAAGAATTTATATAGTTTTCCAAAGTAAGTAAACCGTTTTTAGTAAAAATAAACTAAAATGATAATACGACATTCATATTTGTAAAAATGTGTTAAATTTATGCAAGCGCTCCAAAACTGAAAAAAAGCTTTTAGTAAACTGTTCTTTCCAATTTTTTAATTGCATCGTTTTTAAAAACCTAATCAAAATCTAAATTTTTGATTGACTAAATACAATTGAACTGCCCACCAATTTTAATTGTTTCACGGTTCTTCTTTGCTATTTCATTCGGAAAACATGCAAGTATTTGCAAGTTTTCATAAAGAACATTTAAATGTCTGTTAAAGTTTTTAGGTGTTATGGTGTCTCAGGAGGACGGAGGACAATAAAACGTTCAACAATAAAAAATTTTGAACTTTTTCAATGATTTTAATTTAAAGTTTCATTTTTTTTAAATCATTTTTTTATTATACGATATTTATGTTTAATGAGTTTGATTAACAAAGCTGCGCATAAACTTTTTGTTTATACGCAGGTCAGCATCGTCAGTTGGATTCCACCTGACGATGCTGACCGCTATAGGTCTGCGAAATATTGTAAATATATATTGATATTAAAATATATTTAAAACAAAAAGTTTATACGCAGCCTCATTAATCAAACTCATTAAAGTTTCATTATAAAATTGTTCGGTGTTTAAAAGTTATTAGCATGAAGGGTTTATAACATCAAAACGAGAGGGTTGTAACAAAAAATATACTAAATAAAATAGTTACCAGAATTGAAAGAATACGGAAATTCATTCTTAAAGTATAAAAATACTTAAAGATTGTTGGTCTTCATTTTTAATAGTAACGTTAAACTTGCGTGATTTTGGTTTTAAAATTTGTATGATTTCTGTTTGAAATTTTTGTTTGATTTCAGTAAATAAATTTTTCATTAACTTATTTTTTGTGGGATAAATTTTGAATGCAAAGCTAAAAAATTCACTAAAAAACAAAATATAAATAGAAGGTTTTATTTCTTCAATATAAATTTGTTAAGTTATTTTATAAATAATATTCATTACTCTTATATTATTAAAGAAGCATTTAAAGCCTTGACTACATTCAGACACAGCTATCTTTTTTAGTAAATCAGAAAGTTTGCTAATTCAATATTTTTCTTTTTTCTCTTCAGATAAACCATATCACATATAATTTTTTTTTTCAATAAGATTTTTTAATTATTTTTTTAATAAGATTTTTTAATTATTTTTTGGTTATTGGTATTTAACTAGTTACTGAATGCAAATCAAATAAGTAAAAAGTTACATTTTTTTAATTCTTTACTTGACAAACATTTTCAGAAAGTCACAAATTCAGTTCTGATAAAAAATTAAATTGAAGAATTCTCTATTTAAATAACGAAATGTAACTTTTTTAATGTTATTAAGAAGCCGTCAAATTATATTTTTTGAATCTTATGTGATACTCAACTTCTTCAGCAAACTTTTTTGTGTTGTTTAATTGGTTTGATAATAGTAAAATAGAGTCTACATTGATTCAAATTTTATTTTTAAGATTTAGAACCAATTTTGAACATTTTGACATGATTAATTCGATAAGAAAAATTTGGTAAAACTTTTTTTTTTATTGTTGTGGGAAAATTTGTTTCTCTTAGGAATAACTTTAAAAATAGACTTGTGAAGATGTTTTTTGTATCCTTGCATTTAAAGCCATGTTCATTTGAAATAAAGACTTTGGTGGAAGAAGTAAGCCATATTGGAAGAAATAAAACAGGTAGCTATGGCAATTATTACAACAAGTTTGATCATTATGTTTTATAATTTGAAGGAAATGTTGGCTTCCTCTGACGTGTTTGGCATCCTAATCTATTCCAAACCACTTAAGTTATACATAATTTTCACTGTTGGGATTTTTGTATTCGATTTTTGTTCTAAATGCATCAACGACAATGCTACACCAAATTTATGCAAGAATTTCATAAACATTGGCATAGTTTGTTTCTCCTATTGAATTTAGAGTTTTCATAATGATCAAGTGATGCTTAGTTTTTTATACCTTTAGTAAATAAGCTGCAATAAAATGCAGGAAAATGGTTGACGCCTTCTAACAGAATAACTTTTTTAGATAATGCTTTTCACTTCTGATTGTTATTCGTGTTGGCCTGTGTATGTCACTGTCTTTTTTTTCCAATCAATTCCTTATTATTTTGATTTCAATAGCTGAAATTACAAAAAGAATAAATTTCGACCAGCTTAAGTAAACTTGCACTCCACTATACTATCACTGGTACTTAGTCTTTTCTTTCTCTACTCAATGATCAGCTCAATGGTTTTCTACTCAATAATCTGCTTAATGATTCTCTACTCAATGATCTGCGTGGAAGAAAGCTCGAGTAAACTCTTGATATGAAGAGATTGTAATCATGCTTGTTCAAATCTTCAACAAAAACATTTAATTTTTTGTTTGTTTTGAAAACTTTTGTTTTTTTTTCTATCTTTAGAAGCAGATTCTTTTATCGCAATATCTGCTATTGTTTATAAAATTATAAAAATAATCATTGAGAATCTTACATTTGTTAAAGATGTTATCGGTCACCGATCTATTGCTGTCTTCAAGTAAGTAGATTTGTTCGTGGACTTTGATTTTGCTTTTGGGATAAGAATTGAGTCCCTTTGGGTTATGTTTAAACGTAGAAGTTAGTACAGCTTATGTAAAAAAAATTTAAAACCAATACTTATGGTATTTGCAGGAATAGATAGGGGATTGTAGACTACTTAACGCTAATATTATGGTTTATTAATCACTAACTTTTTTATTTCAGATATCTGTGAGTTGTGTGCACTAGCTTTAATTGAAAAGCTCCTAAGATGAAAAAATTTTATGTTGCACCTGGTCAGGGACTTGTCTACATATCTGGCATTCAGGTAGTCAAAAATGTTCGAAATGCTCTTACTGAGAACCTTAATAATCCTTTACATCTAATTAAACAGAAAATAGATTTTTTTTTAATGGTATTAAAGATCCAGTCTTTGATTAAATAATCAGCTTTTGCCCAGTAGCTATAAAAATTAGTAAATGAATGAATGCTGTTGTTAGTGTTATTGGGAGACAGTACAAGCGGTAGTTCGACATGAGTTCTAATGACCGACTTTTAAACCGGACTAAATCAGCGAGGCTTTAAAAAAAAAATAGAAACAATTTTAAAGAATGCATGCCGCATCATATAAAAGAAATATTCCCCCAACTAGAAAATAATGCAATTTTGGATATTGAGGACATTTTCGTTGGAGCTGCTATTGGAAGATATATTTGTCACATGTTGTTTAACAATGCTGCTAACTGCCAGGGTATATACTATGGCAGACTTCTTAGTGCTAAAAAGAAGAACAGCGCTATATATATAGTTTCATATTGGAAACCAAATGAGATTGAGGACAATAATGCCGTTGAGTATGGGTTAAAAAAATATTAACTATACTCGGACAACAAAGTGTGTTACGAGGTTCTATACTCGGACCTTTTCCTTTTCCTAAATATGTCAATGATTTTCATAAAGCATCCAGCCTGAGAACAATAATATTTGCCGACGACTCAGATTTATTTTTATCGCACAGCAACATTATTATATTATTTAAAATTATAAACTTAGAACTTAAAAAAACTTCTGACTGGTTCAAAGTAAATAAACTTTCAGTAAATATTGACAAAACTAACTAGACTCTATTTCACTCACTTTCCAAAAAAAAACTAATACTATACGAAACGTCCTCTATATTAATGGATATTATTCAAGTAAAAAGAGTAAAAACGAAACAGTTTTTAGGAATATATATTGATAAAAATCTTACATGGAGACAGCACATCTAAAATTTAAGCAACAAAATTTCAAGAAATATTGATATTGAACATTTCAAAAAACTGTTTAAACATGTGCACGTTAACGCAACTGTACTTATTCACTGCCATATCAACTATAATTCACTTATTCACTGCCATATCAACTATGCAAATATTGTGTGGGGCAGTACTAAAAAAAGGGAACTAGAGCCTCTTCATCGCCATCTATAGTAGGTTTAGTTAATTCTTGTGATCGACGAACTCATTCAAAGCCTCTCAAACAATAAATTAAATACGATCTAAAAAATGATGTTTTTTTGATGTAATCATTTTCGACAACTAATCATTGTCAATTTTGCATATTATTTTGTGGACCGCATCTTTGGAACAAAATTGTCTTACACAGCTTTGATTTTTCTTTTGAATGGGATTACTTATCTTTTAAAAAAAATTGAAAGTAGTACTTTTTGAAACTGACAATATACAAACGTACTTTTAAAACCTGTTGAAAATTTTTATATCTATCTTGAATATTTATAATAAATCGGTTTATATCATTTGTAGTGTATGATTATAAATGTATGATTTGTATTTCAATTATTTACAATCTGCAACCCTGTATTCAGGGGCGCACAGAGGATGGGGGATCTGGGTCGGTTACCCCCGGGCTTCACGTTTATAGGGGCATCATCATGACAAAAAAAATTATCAGTATGCCAAATAAAAAACTGAAAACATCCAAAAAAGAAATGAAAAATGTTTTCTTTGTTGTTATATTTCGATTTTTAATTTTGTTTCGAGTTAATCTGATTAAACCGATTACTCATACCTAAGACCATTTTTACGGTAGATGACTCTCTATTTAGAGACCACGTGTTTTTTCTTTCATTCAGAAACCGGTGTTAACGTTCTATGGTATGCCCTCTGAATAGCTCTTCAAAACATGCGAGAAAACCACAAACTAAATGTAACGTTATCGTGAACAGTAGGAAAAAAAATGTTAAAAACATTTTTTTAACTATTTTTTCTTTAACTTTTATTTCCGTATATTTAATAAATTATTATAACTAGTTTAGGGCTCTGCGAATCAGTATTTTTTTTTCGAATCAAATACTGAATCAAAGCAAGTCTTGATTCGCAATTCGAATCAGGAATTGAATCAACATTTTGAGGAAATCTAAACTTAAGCTTTTTTTTTTTTATAATCTATATTTAAAAAAAAAAATCATTAGGGATAAAGTTTTCACAATTCGTGTATTCTTTTATTTTCATATTCCGCCTGTCAATTTTCTTGGAACGGCTTGAAATTATTTAAAGACACTCAAAAATAAAGACATTTGCATTGTATTCCCCTAAAACAATTTATATTAAAAAAAAAAAAATAAGACATCGCTACTTAATAGGCAAAAAAAAAAGGTAAAATAAAATTTATTTATTTTTTCAAGTCAAGGTTTAAGCGTCCAAGTCAAGGTTTCAGCATTATTATTAGGTAGAGAATGGCGTGAATAGCTTATTACATTTTCACCAGTTGAGATGACTCTTTCAGAAGAACAACTTGTTGCTTTTACAGCTAATACAGATTGAGCCGCGCGCGAAAGAAGAGGAAAAATATTTTTATTTTTTTTTCATTATTTAAGTGGGCAATTATCACTATTTATGGTTTGCGAACAACTGTAGATACCAATTTCCGTAACAACGCACTTTTCAATGTATCTTTTTGCAGAATTTAATTGTAAAAGTTTATGTTTATCAGATTTTTTTTCCTTAACTCGTTTAAATACATTGTAAAAAATAAATTTTTAGATAAGTTTTCAACTTTTTCTTTATTGATAGAATTTACGCAATGAGTAGTTTCGCATGGTTTAAAATCAATGGAAATTTCAATTAGATGGTTTTTAACAATTGAAAGCTCGTTTTCGATGTGAATTATGGCTTTAAATCTAGGGTCATATGTTGAAGGTCATAAATTTAAGCGTGCATGTAGTTGTGAAAGTAACTCCTTTTTTAAGCTGCTCATAAAGTTACAATTTAATGAATCTAATTGAGCTT